CTGAAGCTCGGTTTTGTGTCGCTGTGTTCACTCTGTTGTTGGGTGACCTTGGTTGATGCTACAGCAGTTGTTTTTATTAGCTCTAGCACTGAAAATAACAGTCCTTCCTACCTGCACTGCCAGTTTTCCTACGACTGCCCAAGCTCTTCTTGTGCTGTAGAGTGTTTCCGCGGATTCATGTTGGGCTTATTGTTGACAGCTCGCAAATTTCTAGCAATCGTGGTGGCACAGTAGCATTCGCATCGGTCTGAGTTGATACTCAGCTTTATCGTCAAGACAGTTGCAAGTACTCCAAGACCACCTACATCACTGTTACGAGCATAATCACCATCATTCTCATGGTCATCAACACCACCGTCATCACCATCCTCCTCGTCATCATCATCATCATCAACATCATCATCATCATCATCACCATCATCATCACCAGCATCACCATCAGCATCACCATCATCATCACTAGCATCAGTATCAGCATCATCATCATCGCCATCATCATCGACAACATCATGAGCATGAGCTTCATGTCGTTGCTGCCGTGGCGGGCAACGTGAGCATGTAGATATCGACACTCGTTTGCTTAAACAGCAAACCTCAGCAAGCGCAACAGCTCTGTGAGCCTGAACTCTCAACCATCTCGGCTTTTCTCAACTTCAGGTCCCGGAGAATTAAGAGCAGTCTCTTAAACCCTAAACCCTAAAAGCCTAAACCCAAAACCCTAAAGCCTGAAGCCCTGAACCCTAAAAGCCTAAACCCAAAACCCCAAAGCCTGAAGCCCTGAACCCGGGTTCGTTGTCAGCTCCAATTCTGCAGCTCCGAACCTTGCTTCGACTTCAGGTGTGATATGGGTAGTTCTCTAATTTAGGGTCCCTTTTTGGGGTCCCTTTTATAAGGGTGCCGTACTATAGTGGGGACCTAAAAAGGGACCCTAACTTAGAGAACTACCCATATGAGGGGTGGGGTTAGAAGCCTCCTTGCGTAAGGTACCAAAGGAAGCCGAGGATTCCTGCCCTAAGGCCTGACATCCACGAAGGGGTTTCCAAAAATAGGGGACCCTCATATAGTACCCTTAATAATAGGTTCCTTATTATAAGGACCCCAAAATAAGGTACCCTAATTTTCGGAAAGTCCCAAGTCCTGAGTCAAGACTGCACCAAACCCTGAACATCCCTGAACCCTCAACCCTAAACCCTCATCCAAACCACTGGTCCCTGAACCCTAAACTCTAAACCCCGAACCCTAAACCCTAAACCCTAAACCCTAATCCAAACCACTGAACCCTGAGGTGCAACATCGAGCGCTTCCTTGTGGTCGGTGAGGGAGGCCTTGGCGCCACACTCAGGAGGCCACTTGACGTCGGTGGAAGCTGTTCTCTGTATTTCTTTTCCTGGTTTTGGGGTTCGGGGCTTCGGTTTTTGGGGAAGGTGGTTTATGGCTAGGGTTTAGGGTTTAGAGTTTAGAGTTTAGGGTTTAGGGTTTAGGGTTTAGGGTTTAGGGTATTGGGCGAAGGTGTTGGTGAAAACGGTGAAAACCTTGGAAGTTAAAGCCTTGCAAGCCGCCCCCGGGCAAACCAGTGAAGGCCATTGTCCGTCTGGTGCTTAGTAGGGAATGGGGGAATGGGTTATAGGGACTGCTATAAGGGACCTTAAGGGACTATCATAGGGATCCATTCCCCCATTCCCTACTAAGCACCAGACAGTTGTTTGAGCAAGCTTTCTTGAGACCCGGTATTTGCGGATTGGGGTCTTGGGTTTCCTGTCTAGGAATGAGCCTTCAGGGAGTAGGGGTCCTGGGTGTATCAGGCAGCCCCGACCCACGAAGCTGAAGAGGATCCCTCACATTGTCAAAATCTCCGTGGAGTCCGGCACCCCGGTCGTGCAAGCCACGCAGCCGGCAGGCGGGAGGAGAGATGGGGTCTGTCGGAGCAATTGCTACTTAGTGGCTGAGTAGGTAACCTTTAACCTTGCGGGGCTCTTATAATCCTACTATAATTCAAAAGGTTAACCTTTTTTGGGCTAAGGTACTCAGCTCCTAAGGCTAAGATTTCGAGCATGTGCGCGTTCAGGTAAGTCTACATGCGTTGTACAATACACAGATGGACACACGAAGCGCGAGGTCAATACGCGTACGTATATAAGCATGTGGCACCCTCCTTGATGTGCCACACCCCAAAAGGGGGAACTACCCTGAAGCATGTGCTTCACAAATTCGTGTGGGATTCGTTTCGTATACTATGCGACAGTGCATTTTCCACAAGGTGTTATTTTACAGTATCTTTTGTTATGTTATATTGCACTACGTTGCATTTCATTAGGTTACATTATGCTATATCATGTGACTTGATATTATTGTATTCCATATTTCTTTATGCTCTATGGCATTCTATGGTATTTATTTCCTTCTTTCATTTTATGTTAAATGCTGTGTTATGTTATATACGAAAATCCATCATAATACTTCCATATTGTATTGCTTTATGTTTCTATATTATGATACTGTATTGCACGACGCTTTATTACATGGTATGACATGACATGATATGATTCCATGTTACACCAGATTCTGTTCTACCCTGATCTGTTCTATTATGTTATACCATCTGAAACTCTTTATCAACAGTATTCTGTTCTATATGTTGTGTTGCAAAATATTAGTGTATATTATGCTATGCTAAATATAAAATGTTATCATGCAGCATGATACGACATAGTGTAATAAAATATACCGTTAAAATGTGAGATATCACAGGTTGTATGTTTACATATGTCATTATTATCACTATTATTGTATTTTATTATCATTATTATGTTCACATCGTGGATTAGCTATTATACAGTAAATACGACATTGCATGATACATACTTTATTTAATGGCTGCCGCCAATGCC